GTGTTTCTAACACTAAGTTTATGATAAATTATTGTTAATATTTTTAAAATTTTTTGTGCGTTTTTTCCTTCTTTTATTTCAAATAGAAGTATAGTTAGGATAAATTTTAGAGCAAATTTAGATGCTCAGACGGCAGGAACTAATGGCATTTTTGGGCTTCAAATTTCAAAAATTTTCTGCGGAAGTATGCCCCCAGACCCCCTATTCATTCACGGTATGTCGGCCACACACATGACCCACGGCCATTACTATCCCCCTTTAATAATAAGTAATGGATAAATTATTGTTAATATTTCTTTTATTTTTTCTGCATTTTTTCCCTTCTTTTATTTCAAATACAAGTATAATTAGCATACTGAAATTTTAGAGCAAATTTAGATGCTCATAAAGCAGGAAATGGCATTTGAAAGGTTCAAATTTAAAACATTTTCTGGGGGAGTATGTCGGCCACACACGTGGCCGTCGGCCATTGCTATCCCCCTCTAATATATTATCTGACAGAAAGATCCCTTTTCAAAAAAATCCTCCCACGGGAAAATCCTTAAAAAAGGCCCTGTTGTCCTGTATTTCGGTCTCGGAACTGTCGTATGTCGTCACGGTATAAGTTAACTGTGTAGTTTGTATATTTGCCTAGCCACATGTTGTGATTGAGGCTAGGTGAGGATTGTAAGTTTATCACCTAGTACTATTTAAGTATAGAGGAAGTTAGGTTATGTGCATGCTCACAGGGTTTTGAAAGCAAACCATGCCGTGAAATATGTGAAGCCTATGGTTTGTGTCATGTATCTAACTATCTAGGTAGAATACCTAAAAGTAGATGTTGTACAAACTACAAAGTTGTGGTTTATAGAATCTGGCAGACCTCCCCCGCCCCCTGTCTCCTATTTCCTCCCTCCCCCCTCCATTCCCTCCGTTCCCCCACTTCCCGTTCTCCCATTCCCCGTTCCCCCATTCCGGGTTTTAAAGATAGCCGGTTTCAGTCTATTTCACGTTTTTTTCGACAGAGAAGACGATCTTTTTGCCTGTATTCAATCTACAAACACTAAAAACAAGTTTACTACTCGTATTTTACTCGTATTCTACTCGTATGTACTCGTATTATACTCGTATGTACTCGTATGTACTTGTGTTTTACTCGTATGTACTCGTGTGTTACTCGTATGTACTCGTATGTTACTCGTATGTACTCGTATGTTGCTCGTATGTTACTCGTATGTACTCGTATGTACTTGTGTGTTATTCGTATGTTACTCGTATGTACTCGTGTGGTGTTTTAGTCACGATCGTTTCGCCTAAGCATTGTTTCGCCTACACGCATTCCGCACATTCTTTCGATAGCATAAAAGCAACCTACAATTTCGAAATTACTCACCACCTGATGATTCCTATACGGATGAAACAGACTGTTGCGGTTTTTTGAGGTAAAACGAAAAACTATATATATATATATATATAAATAAAGATTGTCCAAGCCGAGAAAATCAAAGCTAAAGTTTATGTAAATCAGGACAAATCTTTATTCGGTTGACAAACATTTCTTTTGTATTTCCCGTTTTGAGTGGCATGCATGTTGTATTCTTACGTTTTCTAGATTCTACTTGGTAGACTACATGCAGAGAATATAATATAATAGACCTTTCTTAATATAATGACGTGTCTACTAACAATTAAATAAACAATTAATATCTTTTTTTACCATGCAAATTTACAAACTTCAAAAATAATTGAGTGAAGTCAGTAAGTAATAGCATTAATTGTTTTTATTGGCCGCCACCGACACTGTGATCGTGTGACACGATGCCAAATTTTACGCATGGACGAAATTTCTCTTATCTCAAAAATATCTGTTCTCTTACAGCAGGGTATATATAACTAATACTGGTGGAAGTCAAAGACTTTAATTCCTACCCTTTTCGGCATAGTCTAAGATATGATGTCTGGAACTAAACAGAAGTGTCTGCAAGGTCATGGTATTTAAACTACAGAGGTCACTCTGAGTATCTACATGAATCATCAAACACATAAATAAACAGTAAAATCAAAGACAAATTAAAGCACAAACTTACCAGCATAGCCAGCAATATTTTACACGTATGTATTGATTTGTAGTTGTACGCTGTTAACTCTGTAAAAACAAGTTGGGTGAACATACACCACCTCTGACATCCACGGAACATTAGAGCACGCTACCACTATCAACGCTATCTTAACTCTTAAGTACTGTCAGGGGTGGCGCTAGACCTCTTTGAATGGGGGGGGGGGTGCAAGGAAATTTTTCCGAGTTATCAAGGCAAATTTTTCCGAGTCACTGCAACCACTAATTAATATTTCTTTTCCCAAAATTGCTATTCCTATCCAAATCCATATTTTGCCGAGGGAGGGGGTTGTTATACCCTCCACACCCCGCCCCTTCAGCGCCGGCCCTGAGTACTGTCTAATTGTGTGTGTCTGATTGGTTAATGGACCTAACCTAATGAACAAAATTTTGATCTAGACATGTCTAGACAAAATTTTCACCACAGCTTGAAAGAGCATCACAAAATTAGTAATATTCAGAAGTTTCGTTGTGAAATGTCGTAAAATGCGGATAATATAGGGCGTTGTGAAAACCCGGAATGCCGGAATATCACGGAATATAGCGGAATATCACGGAATATAGCGGAATATCACGGAATATGCCGGAATATGGCGGAATATCACGGAATATCACAACATTTTCCCGGAATATACCGGAACGTCGATCACAATATTTTCCGATGGTAGCCATGCGACTGTTTATAATCATGGACGTATGACAACATATTTTATTACAAAAGTGATGGATCTTTCCCATTTGACGGTATGTAACAAACAATAAGTCTATACCGGAAGTTTTATATGTTGTCTATATTATTATTACGAGTGTTCACCAAAATTGTGAATCAATATGATTAACTCCTCCCATGGCTAGAAATCCAATACAGTATGCGGTTTGACCTGCAGGCTCAAATTTACATAAATTGCGGATTTGCATAAATTAATTACTTGGTATTAAACATTGTGGTTCATTTCTACAAGGAGTTGAACGAGTTAAAGAGTCTTGTTCTGTGCAGCACAGCTGATTTTTATAGCGAGAACAAGACTAAACGCGGCAAATATATTGTGAATATCTAAAGCCAAAAGGTCAAAACTATATCCTGCGTACATTGAGGTCATTAGCATATGAGAATGAAGGGCTTGCAATTGCTAATTTCCATTGCAAATAGCAATCTAATAGCGGAATATCATACATGTTTAATACAACAACTCAGCGTAAACACTGTAAAAATATATAAGAAACAATTTATATGTAAAATGCCTCTTTATTGACCTTTATTGATGAATTTCGTAAATTGCGAAATTTGATTCCGAACAGAAAGTGTATATTTACCAAGCCAAATTTCAAATCTTACCGCTTATTTGCGCTTTTATTTCTGCATCCACGATCAAATAAACGTTGCAGCGGTAAACACCATGAAAACCATAACAACAGTTCTAAAATGGCGACAAGAAAGCACTGTATTGCTTCGATTTTCATGTCGTGTTTAGTGTTTATGATCGGCACTTGATCGATCGATTGACAACGACTCTGCGGCACTTAAATCGCACTTTTTTATGGCGTTTGGGAGTTACTTAAAGACGAAGTTACGTCCCAAAAGGCTTCGCAAAACAAAGAATAAATATTCTTGAGTGTATTTAGATGTGCACATCACAGCCAAACCAACTGATTATTGCCAAAATAAAGGCTTACTTTGGCCAACTTTGGCCAATTGTTGTGATTTAATAGACACTTGTATGGGGAATAAGAGGTAAGAATCTATCGAGCTAGGGAACTCATTTAGCCTTGTCAATTTGTCGCGAAATTTGTTCTAGTTAATATTTGTGTTATATAATGACGTTTTAGATGTGCACATCTGAGAATTTGTAAGGTTATGAAACAAAAAATCAGAAATATAATTTTTCCTTTATGAATTCTATACATTGGCGCCATTTTGAATTTATTTAATTTGCGCTCTGCACGCATGCTTTTCCGCCATACTGTATTGGATTTCTAGCCATGTGAGTTACAGCGTTGAAATACGTCAGCATTATTTAACAAAATTTAGTTAAAAATTATTGGTTAAGGTTTAATAAGACGGGACTTCTTACCTGATATAAACAACTGGCTCAAAGTTGCCTTAATTTTAGCTTTTGATTTTTGGATAAACGCTTGGTGGTATAAAATGGTCAATTTTAAAATTAACTAAATTTTGTGTAAATAACACAGTTCTGAAGGCGTTCGAAAATAATGCTGGCGTCAGCACGTTTGTTTTTCAAGACGCTGCAACTCAGGAGGAATTAATCATATTGATTCAAAATTTTTGGTGAACACTCGTAATAATGATATAAACAACATATAAAACTTCCAGTATAGAGTTATTGTTTGTTACTTACCGTCAAAATGGGAAAGATCCATCACTTTTGTAATAAAATATGTTGTCATACGTCCATGTTGATCTAATCGGCCAATCAGACGAAAAAAACAGAATCTGTTTTTTTACATGCGCCGCGGTAAAGAATTGTATCAGGCCCTCCTTCATTCGCCGCCACCAATTAATCCTGGCGAATGAAAACATAAGGGCCTGATACTCAGGTTATATATATATATATATATATATATATATATATATATATATATATATATATATATATATATATATATATATATATATATATATATATATATATATATATATGGTTCGGAATTTCATAACGAATATAACTTGGTTCGGAATTTCATAACGAATTTCGATAATTTGATGCGAAACTGCCGATTTTGATTGGCCGGTTTCCAATCAACTTGATGATCTCGTGTATATAGTTCCCAAATTTCCAACCAACCTCGCAATTGGCGTGGTTGGCCAGTTTCGTGAAATCAACTGTAAGGGGCAGGGATCAATATAAAGAAAATTAAAATTACAATCAAACCAGCAGCAGAAAAGACCACAGCAAGTCTGGATGAGTTTCGATCAATTCAACTTACTCTACCGACTCCTCCGGTATGGGTGAGTATTATGTAATAAAGCATGTATGGAATTACCTGTGTTCACATACTCTACTGTTAAATCAGAAATAAACTGGTCAAGGCTCGAAGCATCCACAAAACGTACCCTATTTCAGATCAAAGCTAGGGGAAGCGGAAGTAAAAATCTTGGCTTGCAAGTTGACCAAGCGGAATGTATTCCTTAATTTTACACCAAGCAAGTTCGTATAGCCTGCAGGGGAGGCACATACCTATATAACGTATAATCAGGAGTACTCGTTTGGGCTGTATAATCAATTTTATATCTTTTCTTGTAGCAAAAGAAAAGCGAGTCAACGTCATCAGGTAAAATATTAACGGTCTTGATTAGACCATTAGTACGTTGTAATACGACCATTAACATCGTTCGTAAAGTCTCACAAAACAGCCTATTGCATGTCTTGTTATATAGATTGCGATTTTCCGAAAACAACATTCCTAAATGGATCAGGTGTTCAGTCTTCTCACAAACTGTAAGTATTGATCCCTATAATAAATTGACGAAATACCGTATGTCATCAAGTTGTACCATTCCTTTACATTTGGCAGGTTACACATTACACATGCAGCGTTAATTCCCCCTGTAAAGGCCCGTTTACACGGGCGATTTTTGCTGCAATTTTAGTTGCGATTTTCTCCTTTTGGAGGATGTGAAGGAGTGGATGAGTTATAAATGTTCCAGGTTATGAAATCAGAAATCCCATAACAACATTATTATATTGATAAGTAATCTACTTCTTCATATCCTCGAAAAGGAGAAAATCACAACCAAAATCGCATCAAAAAACGCCTGTGTAAACGGGCCTTGACAATCTCAAGGTGCATCACTACACAAAGTTCTCTTTTTTAAAGTGGCTATTTGAAATTAAATATCAAGATTTTGTTGGCGTCTCATTCGATTGAATAACAGTTGAAGGATATTGTACAGTAGATGGAACTTTTTCGAGTGGAAATATATATATATATATATATATATATATAGACATTTTAGGTATATATATATAGACATTTTAGTAAAGGGATCTAAATGTGATTTTTCCCACTCTGGTGATTCCCACCGACCTCTGCAGGTTGGCCCGAGTGGTTTTACATCCTCTTTTCGAGTTCCAAGTCCATACCCCGGCGATTTTTCCCACTATATTAATTCCCAGCGACCTCTGCAGTCTGACCCGAGATGTTTTCCATCCCCTTTTCGGGAACCAAGTCCATATCCCGGCCCTTTGTTTCCACCTGCGATATCTCACCCACTTATGAACCATTTGTACGCGCAGCCTTTCATACAACCCTTAATGCAACCCCTAATGGATATACCCACGAGAACAATCAGATATTGATTAAGGATTATACCCGGAAGACCCGAAATATTAACAACCTGATCTCAATTCCCCTTGTTACTAATAAGAATCCCCCAAAATCCTATGATATCCCGACTATATTGTCCACTAATGTTAGATCATTACCAAAAAAAATTGACGAGCTCCAGCAAATTGCAGAGCCAAACTCTGCAAGTGTTATTTGCATTACTGAATCGTGGCTATCACCTGAGTGACCTGACATTCCTGATCATTGCGTATCTATCCCTGGATTCAACTTATTTCGTAGGGATCGCATAGGATCTTCTGGTGGTGGGGTCTGTGTATATTTGGATCATAAAATACCTTGTAACCGTTTGGATTCATGTGACCAATCTGATGTAGAATCAATTTGGATTTCATTAAGACCACATAAACTCCCAAGAGAAATTACATCCATTATTCTAGGAGTAATATATCATTCAACATCCAATAAAGAACCTGAGAATGTTGTCCTTAGAAGGAACCTAACGCTCTTGTTTTACTTACAGGTGACTTTAATCCCACGTTTACAGGTTTTAAAATGAAATATATCACACAGGTGAACCATCTTAAACAACTTATATCTTTTAAAACCAGAGATTCTGCCGTATTGGATTGGCTGTTAACAAATAGACCTAAGATGTTTGAAGTATCTAGATTGCCAAAGGTTGGTTCGTTTGACCACTATACGATCTTAGCAAAACCAAATATAGCAATATCATCTAAACAGACTATTACCAAAATTAGAATCCGGGACATGCGGAACTCTGCGTGGTGTGCCTTTGGACGATGGATAACCAAAAAAAACTGGTCATCGGTATTAAGTGCGAGTACGAGCAAAGATAAATTTGACCTCTTTATGTCAGAGCTTGACCAAGCAGTTAATACCTTTCTCCCACAGAAAATGATTAAAAAGCATCCGACAGATCGACCGTGGATTACTAATACGATAAAACTGTGGATTTCTAGACGACAATGTGTATTCCAACAACAAGGAAAAAATTCTAAAGACTATAGTTTTTGGAGGAATAAGGTTCAACGTGCGATCCAGTCAGCAAAATCCAATTACTTTCATAGTAAGGTAGCAGATGTTGATAGAGTTAACCCTGTAAAGTGGTGGAAAGAGATTAAAAAACTATCAGGTCAAAATATCCGACAGGAATGGTATTATCAGTTCCTTGATAACAACATGGATATAGAATCCCTAGCTAATAAAGTGAACGACTTCTTTGTTAGTCTTACAGATCATTTCGCCCCTCTGAGCCAACCAACTCCACCTATGCAAATCCCGGAAGAATTCTTGGTTACGGAAAGTGAGGTGTTTAAAGCATTAGCATCACTGCAAATTAGTAAGGCGATTGGCCCTGATAATATCCCGAATAGAATCCTGAAAGAGTTTGCTCCTGAACTGGCTCCAGTCATTCGTAATATTTACAACCAGTCAATGAAAGAAGCGAATATCCCATCACCACTTAAGTCATCTATCGTAATTCCAGTTCCGAAGATATCACCTCCTCAAACAATTGAAAATGATCTCCGCCCAATCTCGCTTACTTCTTCAATGGCAAAAGTTATGGAAGGCTTTACTTGCACTAGACTATTAAAGGACTTGGAAGGAAAAATCGACCCTCGCCAATATGCCCGCAAAGGGCACTCAACAACAGATGCCCTTCTCTACATGATGCAAACAATTCATGAGGCATTGGACGGGGGCGAAGCTGATGCTCGTATCTTCTTCGCAGACTTCTCAAAAGGTTTTGACCTAATTGACCACTCTATTTTAATACAAGAACTGAATAAGCTCCAGGTTCACCCTGCCTTGCTGTCCTGGATCTCAGCCTTCTTATTCAATCGTAGGCAGGCGGTTAGAATTGGTATAGTGTCCATTCTCAATGGCAAACTCTGAAGGGAGGAATACCCCAAGGGACTAAACTCGGAGTGATACTTTTTATGGTCATGACAAATAGCTTACTGGCTAATTGGCATCTCTGTACAAAATTCGTGGATGATACTTCAGCCCTCG